CAACGTACAATACCCACAATGTTATGCCAAGTACACAATATAGTATAAGTATATTATATATATCAAATGTAATATATTATGTATTTATGTGATATAACTATATTATATGTTTACCTATATATATCTCACCGGCTCGCAGACCGCAGTTGCCTATATAAACTATATGCTGTAGTCGGATTAGGACATAAATTACGTACTCATAATAAGTGAATCGAAATAAGAAAACGAACTGATTACCATTTGCTGCTATGGTGCTCGTAAAGAAGTTCAATTGTCACTCGCAGCATTTAGTATTCAGTTGTTGAGGTGGTTGGTGCGTCGTGTGACACTGTGGATCGGACAATAAGATCACGCTGTCCGGAGAGTGGTAGGTCGGTAGGTGGCTTAAATAAAGGGTTCTGAGTTTTCAAGGACTATCTTTGTATTGGACATCCGATCCCTTTTTCAATCGCCTGTTCTCTCTGGCGACACAGACGAAAGCCATACGCGTTATTATATGAATACGAGTTGGCCCCCAGATGCGTGAGCGTGACCGAATTACGTTAGTATTGTACATATTTTTTACTGGGGCCTTGCCGGGGATGACTGTTCCCTGCATACAACAAATGATCTGTTATTTATTGTATTTAAGTTCACTAATATTGGTTATTACAATGATAATTATAGTAATCATGGTTATAGTTCTTTAATCCGTTTGCGTTTCATAAGAAGATAAGTTAACATCTTAAAGTGTAAAAGATGGAAGTCGAATGAATAATTATATTCGATATTTTTGGATAGTAGATGATAGAAGACGGTAGTTAGGAAAAATAATATCAACTAATTAGCATAGACGAAATTTGGGAGGAGGATTGGAGGGGCTTATTTTGAACCAACGATTACAATAATTGTAATAATAATAATCATTACAAAAGTACCTACCTAAATGTTGTAACTTGTTCCAATATCAATAGTTTCCTGTTTAGTAATAGGTAAATGTATTATAATGTATTAAATTTAGGATAGTGGGTGAGAAAAAAATGATAAATATATAAATAATATGTTATATTCACAAATTAAGATCAATATTAATTGATAATTATTAATTTGTGGACTCGTGGTTATACTGGTTATCTAATATTTTAAACGTATTGGAACAGGTGGTGCAGGGAGTAGAGCCCACATCGGTCTGTTTTATTATATGTAAAACCCCTCCCTGTCAAAAACGTAAATTACGCCTTTGTGAATGAGTAATGACTTATGGATTTATGATGGCTTTAAACTCTTTTAAAAAGTCGTTGAGTTATGACTAATGAGTATAAGTATAGCTATACGTATTATCGGTATTTTGCGTAACACGTGTGGCCGTGTGGGGTTATTGGTTTGGACTCGGAAGTTCGATCTTCGAAACTAAGGATTTTGAACTTGGTTTTGAGTGTACGTACTATGAAGGAGGAATATAATAATATCGTGGACAATATGGTATAATTATGGTGAAAGGTGATATAAAAAATGCATGTTTAATTAATTATACCCCTGCGTGGCTGCGTTATTTTATAGTTGGCATTATATTTATGCTATATTATTATAAAAATGATTTACTATATATTTGCATTTCATTATACTTATTTAGTGATGACTTACAAATACGTTAAGAGGACGTCGCAGTGGTCGTACTCGTATATGTTTCCGCGTCTTAATAATGCATATAATAATATATCAAAATGTACGTGCAGCAATCCTAATTTTGTGTTGTCAAAGAGAATTGAACTGTGTACTCTAGTTGGTTTTTTACGATATTTTAATTTTTAAGTGAGTTATAAGTATGTAAAATATTAATATTATTAAAAATATGATTTATTTTATTTTTTGTTTTTAAAGATAATTTATTAAAATATCACAGCCATAATTCAAGACATAAGAATGCCTAATATTTCCAATGTATAGACTTATTATAATATATGCTTAGAGCAAAAAAATTAGCCTGTAGGAGGGACACCTATCCACCCTGCCCATCCTTATGACACTTATGGTTATAGCCAGCTAAGTACAAAATGATTTAGCCATAATCTAAATATAAAAATATGGGTAGGTAAGCCACTTGACCACAAGCTATAGCCCCGCAGGGGTCACAGAATGGCGACCAGCAGACTAATTTTATTCGGTCCGCAGACAAGAAAAGTCTAAAAAGTAAAAACCGTTAATATTATCCGTTCTATATAAAGTGTTGCAATTTATCATTTTTGTTCATTGGTTTTTACCGACATCTGCAATTTTGATGGCCCTCAAACAATTTCCAGATTATTAATGTGGCCCTTTAAAAATAATAGTTGGTGATCCCTACTATAGACTATGCCCTATACTATAGGGCCTATAGTATATTATAGTAATATATATATATAAATAGCATTTGATGTGGGTATAGCACACATAGCACCAAGGCGCCTCTCATAAATATAGTTATTCTTTTAATATTATTTACACAATACATTATACTATTATATTTGCAATGCATGTGTAGTGAACAAATTGAACAATTCAATGATTATGGTGTTTCGAAAATGATGTATTATGGCTGAAACGCGCGATCTCACGATGGTGAACAACGAATAATGGTCCTTGATCCATGATATTATTTATTATTATTTATTATAATCAACGCCAGACGGCTTTTACAAAATTACAGTCCAGAAGTACATGGATAACAGTAAAATTAAAACATATTACAGTATATAAAGACGCGTAACTTATACTAACTTAATATTGGAGTGAAGAAAAGAATTAGTTTGTAAGTAAAAAAAAGAATGTGAGCCTTCGTACTACATATTGCTTAATAGTCTATATGATTATTTGAATTATGCATCATTCTTATAAGTGGGGCATTCCTGGAGAATTTTGATTTATTGGCGGGTATATAAAAATTAGACTGAAGCCTAGTGTTACTAGGAATTCGAAATTATTAAATAACTTGCTGGGCTATGGGCTTTTCGGACGATATATAACTAAAAAAAATGATTTACTTGGTTTTTTTTTAATGTTTATTAGATTTTGACAGAAATCAGAAAGTTGTTTTATACAGTATATATAGGTATAATATACTAATATATTCCTAACCTATAGTTAGCGAATGATTAAATCTATCGGTTGCAGACATCAAAATCGATGAAAAAATAAAAATAAGTATTATTACTGAAACGGGCTGTGATTTCACTATAATTGGCATGTTGGGTTCCTTTTAAGTTATTAACGACGGGCCGGCTTGTGCCTTGTAGCTAAGTACTAGGAGGCTGGAAGACATGGATATGAGATAATTAAAAATTATTTAACAACATTTTCGGTACAAAGTGAATCTATCTATCCAGTGTTGTTTTTGTAAAAAAACTATAGGGTGTAGAGGTGTACGCTCATTTATGAATTGAAGGCAATGATGAAAATTGTGATTTTATAATCTTAAAAATAACAACATTCAAGTATTATTATCTCTTCAAAATATCGCTCCATTCACTCGTGAACAATTATTTTGCTACCAAGTTTTGTAGATTTCATTTCACCTAAGTATTCACACTTCACAGATCAGATTTAACATTATTTTTATAACATTTAACTTGGTCAAATTGGTAATCCCTTGGCAATTCTTATTATTCTGTGATGCAGGCAACTTGAAATTTTTTTTAAAAAAAACTGCAATAACCTAACCACGGTCACGAACAATGATCAACTATACCAATTACCTACCCATGATAGGCCATAGCGTATATTTATGTTACCGTCTATAATGTAAATTAGGTAACAACGTAAATACTAAATACTTAGCCAATATTATAAATTCCTAACATTAGTAGACGATGTCGTCAATGCCTTGACATTAACTGACAAGTGACAACATTTGCGATAAGCAATTTTGTAAAAATCAAATATTTTGTTAAGTAATACATTTAAGATGACTAGGAAACTACCTTGATGTCTATTACCCAAAACACTTTTATAGTTTATACCTTTAACCAATCTTCATTATTTGTTACACGCTTCTAGCCTCTATAATAGATGATTTATGCATGTCATATAAATTATAATTATATAAAACAAAATAATAATATTGAAATATAGAATAAAGATTGCCTAATTTTTGAACATTTTAAGGCACACAAACCTACACCTAGCCACCTAGGTATACAAGCGTACCTACATACAATACGTTTACTATTCTTACTGGGTAATTGGTATACGCTAGTTTAACAAATGGTAAATGGGTTTACTTCATAACCCCGTTAAATTCCCTCAAATGCACCACTAGATCTATCTAGATTCCAGGACAGATGTTTAATCTCTTTAATATCATTTTATTATTCTGTGGATAGATTCACCATCCACCTTTGTTTGGTGATTTCAGATCCGTCACGATGAGTACTAAATACTAAATAGTGATATATTATTTATATTATCATTTGTAAACAATATCATGCAAGTTAACGTTATCCATTGATATTAAACATAGTTTAATAAGTTGTAATAACAAGTTATAAATGATTTTATATTTTTATATGAATTATGAAAATGTGAAATATTGGAATTGTGAACTCGAAGAAGGTGATAAATGATAACTATTAATTATGTGGCACTGCCCCTAGCTAAATAACATTATTATTAATATTAATATTTAAATTAATAAATACCCTAATCTAATAATAATGAATAACAATAATTTTTTGTAAATTAGCCATGGCACGGACACGAGTCAGTTAACTTGCCACATGCTTACATAATACTAAAGTATTTATGTATATAGGTACTATATGTCTATATATACAGTATATTGTACTGTAACATGATCTAAAACACTACAGAAAATAACTAAATAACAATATTCAAATATTGTCATCACCTCTGTGTGCCCTAAGGTCAAATAACTCAAATGTGAACATGTGGTAGTGGTTGCTACTTGTTATCACGATTAATGATAATAATAACATAATGAGATTATGAAACAGCTGATGGTTTTAGGAAATTGAGTTTGACGAATTTGGAAATTGATAAGTGATAAGTGATAAGTTTACTGATTTACTTCTACCAAGTGTAAAGTGTAAATTAAACTGCAAAATAACTTACTGCAATTTTTTTGTTTGTCCTTCAAAATGTCTTATAAATACTTAAAGCAGGTAAGCATATCGATTATTTCTTGAGACAATTGCGTTACAATAATTGTTATTAAGAAGTGTTATACATGTTTTCATTCAAACCGTTTAACGCAATTTATAAAAATACACAATATTACAAATGTGAACAACACACCGTTGTTACATTTTGCCTATGTCGATAAGTTGTATTCCAATATGTTATTAATGAATGTAAATAATTTTTTAGACAACTGGTCTCACTAGACTCAATGTAGCAAAAAGCCCACATTATACTCTAGGAGTGTTGTATGGAAAAATTCTCCGAACCTTACGTAAAATGCCCGAGGATGCAGCGTATCGAAAATATACTGAGCAAATAATTAGCAATAGAGCCAAAATCGTTCAAGAAGTATTGATAATATTGAATGATTGTAAATACAATTTATTACTGACTTATTTTTGATTTAGACTGTTGCAGTAGAAGATTTTGAAAAGAAAATTGACTGTGGACAAGCCGAAGAATTAATTGTACAGGCTGAAAATGAATTGGTCTTGTCTAGGCAAATGTTAGCGTTTAAACCATGGGAATCTTTAATCGTCAAACCAAGTGCTGACCAATGGTCCTGGCCTCCAACAAAGTAATTTGTTTAAATAAACATTGTAAAATAGTTTGATTTCAATTTGTTAGATTATTTAAATATGTATTCCTCAACATTTGAATTTTTATTAATAAAGTGAAACATAATGTAATGCTTTTTATTTCAATAATTAGTAAATGGCCTATGTGTAAAGTGTACTTAAATATATTTTACAATATAATGTGAAATAAAAAACATGTATTATTTAAAAAAACAAAAATATAATTAATGCATAGAATAAAACAAAAAGTGTTAAAAATATGTTAGAAAATATTTTATAATATATAAAATAAAATTAATGGTAAATAATTACAAACTAAATTATCTTAATTAAATTCATATGTACATGAATTTATTTAACAGTAACAATAATCAAAATATTAATCTACAAATGTAATCATAAACATTAATAAAACTTTAATGAAGCTGAGCATTCTTCTCACAATAGTTTGCAAAAATAATTATGCAAGACATCGAAATTGTGTTGAAGTAACTTATGGTGATTCTAATTGTGTGGATGGAACATAACTTACGACTTCTTCCCAAACAAGTTCTATAACATAAATGTTAAACACGTGATTTAAAATGTATTTATTTATTTTAATAATCTGACATGTTTTTTATGGAAACCTTTCAAAAGTGGCAACTTATATGGGCGTGTATGCTCAAGACATACATAAACATATACTTCATAAATTAATGTTCAATAATTCTAGTTAAAGAAAAAAATATTGGCTGATAGAAGAATGGCATTTCAGGTCATGCAATAAAAAAATTATTTAATTTAAAGATGCATAAAACAACTTATAATGACCATTAAAGAGTTTTATTTTTTCAAGTATGGCAGTATTAGAATGACAAGAAAAACTTTATAAATAAACTCGAATAATGAACATTACAAAATATTCAAAATTAGTACTTCACCTTTCCATTTTTCTACATTTAATTCCATATCTTCAAAGCTTTGATCATATGGAGGGGAATTTGGTTCATCAGATGGATCAGCATATTGCGCCAGGTATGAATGTGCAAGTGCTTTTTCAGCAGTCATTCTTTTATCAGCGTCCAATTCCAACATTTCTTCTAACAGTTTAATTGCTATCCACAAAATAATTCAATATGAACTAAAACAATAAGTCTTTAAATTAAAATTTTACCTAATGGATTAGCTCCTTTGAATACTTCACCAAAATCTTTTTTTGGCATAACTGGTAAAGACTGTATATATTTTTTTGCCTAAAATACAAAATGAAATCTTACAACACAACATATTGACTTAAGCAGACGTTGCCACAACCAAATAAATGGCAAATATACGACACACAAACCTCCGAGCTTTTAATTTTATTTAAATATTCATCGGACGGTGTTCCACACAAAACTAATACACGTGTTAAATGATCCACATCTAAGTTTAGACGCTGTTAAGGATTATAAGCGTAATTAAATGATACTATATTGCACTTACCGATTCACTGGATATCTTTTGCATCAGTTCATTTGATGGGGTGCCTAATATTTCCAAAATCAAATTTAACTGTTGTATGTCTAAATATCTTATAAGAAAAATATATTCTATGTTAGATTTTCTTCAATATTAAATTAGTATAGAAGACTTAAAATTATTTAAAAGGATACGATCCGTGCCAGGAAATAATGTCCTTCCGGTCAAAAGTTCAGCCATAATACAGCCAACTGACCAAATATCAACTATAATAAAAAAAAAGAATTATGTGAAATTAATAACTTATACAAGGTACCTATATTTTAAATATTTTACTTCTAATAATGATATTTGAAATTTTTTATAGCTTATCAAAATCAACATAAAAGTATTAATATTAATAAAGTTATCAATTACTCCTATTTATGAGTATTAATATTCCCTACATTTGATACTCAGAATTTTGATTTTCAATGTGTTATGTAACTCAGTCAATTGAAATGTAAAAAATTAATGTTTAAAGTTTATCTTAAGATAAACCAAAATTAAATACAAATATATTATATATTTATGTATATATGTCTATAAACTAAACCTGTCTGATTGTAATGCATCCAGTTTAACATTATTTCAGGTGCTCTGTACCATCTGGTAGCCACATATCCAGTCATTTCACTTTCTGTTGGTCTTGCTAATCCAAAATCTAATATTTTTAGCTCGCAATCTTCATTTACACCAATATTTGATGGTTTTAAATCCTAAATAAATGTTATACCAAAAATGAAATGAAAAATTGTATACAGCGTGTAACAGGAATACCTGACAATTCATTAACTTTTATTCTAATCAAACATTTTTAATTTTTTTTTTTATCTACACTTATCAAAATTTGCCCTATATGCATAATATGACATTTTTATTTTATTTTAAAATACTGAAAATAAAAATTTTTAAATGATTAAATAAATAAATTTTTTTTTGAAAAATTCAAAATGGGCAGTTAATAATTATTATGGTTTTGGAATGTAAAAACATCGATCTAAATTGCATATTTTATATAATTGTTTAAAATGTCGACGTTTTTTTGTAATTTTTTAATTTCAAAAGTAATCTTTTTTTAAAATATTTTAACACCTACCTGCATAAAAAAGCTCATAAAAATATTTGAAAAAAATCTAGTCTTTTTGAATTAAATATGTTTTTTACAACTGGATCAACTTTATTTAACAAAAATAATAAGATTTCAAAAAGATGTGAAAACAAAACTGCTTGACTTAAACAAATGTTTTTATAATTTACATTTTTCTGAAAACTAGATTTACAAATTGGCTATTATGAATTTTTCAAAAAAAAAATTACTATCAGATTTATTTTCAGTATTAAAAAATATTGGTTAAAACTAGTTATTTCATTTGTCAAGTCTTCCTGTTACACTCTGCATAATACAGAAATAAATTTTACATACCCTATGGATTATACCAGCAGAATGAATATACTTTAAACCTCGTAAAATTTGATAAACAAGGAATTGGACATGATCGTCAGATAATTTTTGTGTACGTATAATATTATTTAAGTCGGCTCCCATTAAATGGGTGACCATATACCTATAAGAAAAAAATAAATATTAAGAATACATAAGTTTTATATTATACATAAACTTACAATTGATTAAAATTATTCATAGTGTTTGCAGGTGTGAACACGTCTAATAATCCAATCACCTAAATATTAAGAACATACAATCAATTTTAATAACTTGGTTAAATAATTTTTAATGACATTAAGTATTCCCTTACTAATTACTAAACATGATTTGGGATTTAAAGCGTAAACACTTAATTTAATTTTTGGTTTCCTTACAAACTCATTTTATAAAGAATTAACTATTGTAAGTGATATTCTAGACAAAAAAAAATAGTTTTTTCAACTGGTTGATTGAGAGGATGTGGTACGATTTTTTCCATAAAAAGGTTTGTAATATTTGTTTTGGCTTAAGAAAATTAAAATATGGCAACTCCCCATGTAAGCCGAAAATTATTGTCTATACTCCGCTCCACGAGAAAAGTTACACGATTTTTTGTCCATTGATGCGCATCTCCCACCAATTTCACTCAATTTGGCTAACCGCAGGGTGGTAAAAAGTGGGGGAAATTTGGAATCCGCTTTGTTGACGGCGGCAATCGGATGAGCGACTCGTGTACCTTCTCTCGTGGAATGGAGCATAGTACTACCTTGGTATTAGGTAATACAATACATGGGCAAAATCATGTTAACACATATTAAGGAAAAAATTATAGAAAAAAATCAGTTGTTTGTGACTACTACAGAGTACAAACTGCATCATTTCAAAGTAGAAAATATATTAAAATTACAATTAAGAAAAAAAGCCATCAATTATTTAACTGCTTTGCTGTACAGTAAGTGTCGGGTATATGCATGTGCAAAATTTGAATTCAATGATAATCACTATATAAAAACCAATTCTAAGTAGAGATTTCAACTTTTTGATAATCAAGGTCACCAACAAATATTTTCATAATATAAAAATTTTAACAAATGTTTATACCTAAATTATTTTTTTTGCAATTCTCAATTATTTTGAAATGTCTGAGAATTTTTTACTTTTAATCTCTTAAAGTTGAGTTTCACCATAACTGTATTCAAACATGTTGTATCATAAATACATTCATTGGTGTCTAAAACTAGTAAATAGCATTTTACTAACTACCAAATTAGAAATTAGAAAAAAAAAGGATTTTATATTTGAAATTTAAGTAACATGACATAAATATCCAATGCACTGTGCGTCTGTGCTTAACTTTAAATAAATCAAAAAAGGGCATATACTTTAAGTCTCAAATCCTGCTATAACTAATAGAAAAAAAAACAATTCATTTTATAACTAATATTAAGTACCAACATTTGGTGTCTTACTGTCTTAGGATAATAATTAACATTGAAAGGAAGAAAAAATGAATCTATGTGATATCCAAGTAATTCAATTTTATAGTATGTAAAAGTCATATACTAAGTTAAAATGTTTAATACATATTTAGTATATTTGACAGCAAAAATATTTGTTGTAAAAATAACAATGAAATCATAATCAGATATTGGGATGGACTAGTGAGATAAACTCTTCAAGAGTGTGTTCAAACCTACCCATAAGGGAAAAATAATTAGAGCATGGTTCTTTGAGATAATACATTTCAAGTCCCATGCTTGAAATAAAAAAAATTACATATGACTTAAATGTATTTATGTAGAATGAACTGTAGCCTTCAATAATTTATCAATTAATATTAAAAAAGACATACATTTTCATGGTTCATGTGTTTTAACATGCGAAGCTCTCGATAGGTACGTTTAGCGTGAACTGCTGACTGGAATGGTCTGGCAAGTTTTTTGATGGCAACTTTCAGCCCAGTCTGATTGTCAACAGCTGAGCTAAAAAATACAAACAACAAAAAAGACATCATGCACTGTTGAAAATAAGAAAAAAATTCAAATAAAAATTAGTAGGTAATATTCAATACCAAACTTGTCCGTAGGCACCAAGACCAACAGGAGTGAGCATTTGATACCTATCGGGTACTTCCCATTCGGTCTTGTTAATTTCGATTTTGTAATATTTCATTGTGGAACGCTGGTTTGAAGTCTGAGACGGACCGGATTCTATAAATATTAAATTATTATAACATAGTATAACTGTACCGATATAATATTATAGTGTACTATTGAAATTTGAAGCTTATCAAATAAACGTGTGTCGTGACTCGTGACACTCAAGATACAAATGAAAGAGATTATTATCGAATCATCTTTGTGTATTTTGAGTTGTAAAATGAAGAACTGTGGGAGTGCGGGCTGCTTCTGCGCCGTCCAAACACCTATATATCTATATATTTAATAACTACTAGCTAGTGGAGTCTATTATTTTTTATTTTATTTTTCAAGAAAAAGAAAAGTTTATGTGTTAAAGATTATGTTTCTAAATCGTCGACTGTGATTGGTGGACAACGCAATTCGAATGTGGGCTTTCGCTTCGCTTCAAGATATTACAATTTAACATTATGATAAATTGATAACCTGCAGCTGATAACGAATTAAATCGAGTATCGACGAATAAGTAATTAATTAATAACAGAAAAGGATAATGATTAATAATTATTAATTGCATTAATTAGTAATTACCTTCTGCCATAACACTTTTGAGTCTTGACTTCTTGAGGCTTCGCTCGTCTTGACGTGGAACTCGTAGAGTTGTGGTCTATCTTGTGTACCTATACGATCGACAACAAATCGAAAAACTTTAAAACGCCATTAATCATTAATTATATCTTGAATCATAAAATAGGACGCGTGTAAGACAATTGATGCATAAAAATTGTGCGGGATTAGATAGGCACTAACCAATTGGCAATTTGTAAATACCAATAGGCAATAATCATTAATCAATGGCTATAATATCGAGTAGGTATCGACAAAACAACTCGCGACAACTGATGGGATTGCAGAGAACTAGAACTATCTTCGTAGAATACCTACTGACTAAGGTGTTAACATTCGTTCCATATAAACAGTAAACAACAGTTTGACGTATGTCGATTACTCGATTGTCAAAACACATTAGTAGTTAGTACATTACACAAGTACGAAACCACATTAACGATAATGTATCTTTAACCGTGTACCTACACAATTGAACGTTATCAACTATCACCAATTTCGAAGGTCAATACTCATTATTACTCAGTATTATTATTTGTCAATATTCTAAATCGAGAAGGCGACAACCGAGAATTCCTTATCGTCATTCGTTTACAATATCATTTATCTGTAAAAACGTGGGGGTGTCGTTGCACACTAATTCCACATGCTAAAAATTCTAGATTGCCTACGTGCACGCTTTGTTGGATACTCATTAACCGCTTACCAATGGTAAGACACTGTTTTCAATACTTTAATTACATACGTTGTATAATAATATGTCGTTAAAATAAAGGCAATTTTTTTTACAAATTAATTTATACTATTTTTTAAAAATAAAATAAAAAACTGGAGCTCATAAATATAAAAAATAATTATCAAAATCTGGCAATTCTACGAAGCCTGATAACTTTCCCGGTGAAATCATTTTTATTAATAAAATACAGTATACAGTATACACCATACAGAGTACAGACTCTTAAAGCTCCCATTATTCATTTATTCAATAATATATTCTATATAGTTGTCTACTTAGAGATAGACGTGTAAATATTATATAACTATTAAATTAGTAAAAAAGGCGAAAGATTTTTTCGTATTGAAAGGGCACCGGAGTTATTATTATCCTTATTATTATTATTATTGTTTTTGTTTTAGGATTAAAACCTTAAATTTATATTCATGCTGAAGTACCTCCGATAGGTGGTTTCTTCCCTCAGTTTCTTCTGTCTATTTTATTATATTTTTATCACTTAAGCTTATTGTTCATTAATTGTAACAGATAGCATAATATAAAATTTTGTTAAAAAAAAAAATGCGTTACACGTTTTAATCCGTGATAGATATATTTTATTAAACGTAGATTTATTTATGGGTATTGGCACTTTTAGTGGGCTGCAAAAAAATTGAGAGTATTTCCACAATATTTTTTTATGAGCGTCTGAATTTAGAACTTTGACAAAATTCGTGAAAATCACGAAAAAATCGCAAATTATTTTAAGCTAGAAATTCATAAAATTCTTTTTGAATCTATGATTTTAAAATTTTATGCAAGATTCCTTATAAGTGTTAATACCTTAATAAAAAAAAAATATATATATCTAGCAGAAAGTCAAATAAAATTTTTATGACTGTTTTAAGTTGAAATTTTCACAACATTGGATATTCACTTGATTTCCTATGTAGCGATTTTCTTATTTTGTCGTTATTCAAAAACGATCAAATGTAGAAACTTGAAATTTACACCGTATGTTTATTTTATTAATTACTATTTTCTATACAATTTTTCAAAATATTTTGATTATTTGATTCATTTGAGCTGTGTACGAACATCTTAAATTTTCAGTTTTTTTTTTTTTTTCTATATAAATGTCAATAAAATTGTATTGGTTGGGTCGAAAAGCATGGAAATTTGAAAAATATTAAAAATACATAGGTACGATTTTTTTTTTATAAACATTTCAAGTTCAAATTTTGATAACATTTATCAAATTGAAAATAGAAAAATGATTTTGTAATTAAAAATGTATAAAATTTTCAATTTGTATGGATTGTGCAGTTTTTCTAGTCATTGTAAAATCTAAGCAATATAAAAATACAGTTATTTTTTAGAGATATTTTAAGTTCAAATTTGGACAAAATCACATATATTAACACAAATAATAACGATTTTAGTCATTTTGTTGTAATTCAGTATCAAAACAGCACAATTTTACATAAGTAATATGTATATATAATAGTTTTCCAACATCGCTAATAATTTAAGAATAATATTAATTCAACTTACCGGCACCGTATTAATAATAAGTAATAACAGTATAAAATATCCTAGACTGATATACCGTCTCCGCTCAGAATCGTTTTTCGTATACAATGATATTATATCATTGAATTCAAATTTAATATACCATCCATTACAGCGACCTTCTATAGACAACTTATGTACAGCAGAGCGACATCCACTTACATGCTTTTTTTATTTTTTTTATTGTATCAATATTCAATAAGATGATCAATCAACATTAATAATACATATTTTTTTTTAAATATTTGGAAAATTATTTTATTTTATTTTACTACTCATAAAAAATAATTTAATATTAATATGAGGGGCAAATGTTACTATGTCAGGAGTCCGATTTCGATTTTACAAATTTTCCGAAATGTAGTACAATTTGAAAATCATTTTTTATATTTTAGTTGTCACCTTAGTTATAATATTTTTCCACTAATTTACTGGTACCTAAGGGGTCTGTTATATTGTGTACTATATTATCAAAAGTGATTTCACTGGAAATGTTCTCAGGCATCGAATTGCCAGAGTTTGATAACTTATTTTTTATATGAAAAAAATAAACTTTTTTCAGACCGCATTGAACTCCAGTTTTCATTTTATTTAAGATAATGGTATAAATTAATTTAAAAAAAAAAATTGAAGTAGTCTATATTTTAAAGATATTATATTTTAACTTTTGAGATTAAAATATTAAAAAACAGTGTCTTATACGAGCTGCACAATATTAATCACTCTATTACCTATTAAAAAAAAAAAAGTTTGATTGACTCAATAGGTCAGAAAAATATTATTACTGTCGAGGGTAATTTTAAAGACAAAATTATAATAGCGTAGGGCGCTCCAAGGATTCAATAGTCAATACCGTCCATGTTTAAGGAGTTAAATATAGGCAATTTTATAAAAGCATTGTACCAAGTTAGTTTTTTTTTTGTTTTATAGTCTGGTTCGAGAACTGAGGGATTCACGTTAATATGTCAAGAAGAGAACAAAATTGTTGCCTCCTCAAAAATGTAATACCAGAACCATCGCTTTATAAATTATAAGACACGAGTGCTCAGTCACTGCATAGTATAAAGTATAAACTATAAGGAATACCTATAAAGTATCCTCAATACGATCCCTGTTTTCATCCTAGTTCAACCATGTGCATGCCTTGTGTTTTTGTACATAGGCACTGCGTTATATGAGATTAAATATCAACTTGAGTTAATTGTTTGTTGCATATACTATATAAAACATTGAATATTAAAAAATAATACGCAGTCTTATCATTGAGCATATTTCTTTTTCTCAACATCCCTTTTATTATGAGACAGTGATATGTTTCAATGTTTGTATGAAAAAGAAATAGTAGAGTATTCTGAGTACTAGAATGCTCCTGCATACGCATGCAAATGTCAATAACCGAATTACTCACTAAACGGAAAACAACTAATCATTATTTTGTTTTGATCAAAAGTATCAATAATTCTGACTTAAGGAAAAAAATTAAAAGTGTTCGTGTATGAATGGTGTACTAAACTAACTGACCCAGCAAACGCTGTCTTAATATTTTTTTTTTTTTTTTATTTAAATTAATATCAAAAGATTCCTGGGCCTCACTGAGGAAAACTCGTGTGGAGGCCCAATATTAATATGTAATATGTGTTTAAAGGCTGTAGCCCATAAGCTCAAAATATGATCCAAACGCAACCCAAAAGCGCAAAAACAAATAACCCAAAAGCGCAAAAAAAATTACCTTTTTAATAACCCATAAGCGCAAATCAAATTTATAAAAAAAAGGGTATTTAATTAAAAGTTTAGTTATTATTAATATTAAATTAAACATTAACACTTTAACACTTTAACAGTGATATTAATTAGTTCAAAAAAATCAAAAAACCAGTAAATCCTGTTGAAACAGATGAAATATAATTTTTAAATACAAATATTGACGGAATATTTTTCTATTCATTTAAAAAAAATTCAGAAAAATGTTAAAAACAAAGGGAAAAACGATAAGATACAGACAAATGCAATAACCGTCGCGATGCGTTGCTGCAATCTGTCGTGGGCCGCGTACAGGCGTACCTATACATGGAAAGCGTAGAGCATCACGCTTTAGGTCAGTAAAATATTGTATCAAACAATTCAATTTTCTTTTGCGCTTTTATCCCACTTCCAAGGTACAAAAGCGCAAATTCATTTTGCGCTTTTGAGCCATCGAAAAATAGGTTGATTTGCGCTTTCGGGTTTCACCGGTGTTTAAAAACCAATAAATATTCAAATGTATTTTATTTTTTAATAAATTTATTCTACAGTATAAAGTGGCCACATCGTACCTATTTTCGTGCTCAATCGTGTTGTTTTATGGATATTTTTGGGTTCTTATTGTTCGATAGCGTCGATAGCGACCGTGCTCAATCGGGTTGTTAAAAAAGTCAATCGTGCTCAACCGGGTTCCAGCCATTCTTAAAAACCTAATTTTAAAGGGTCAGGAATTCAATTTAAATAAAATGGAAAAGTCGTTTTTAAGTAAACTTCTTGGCGAATTCAAATATGTTTTCAAAAGTTGTATCTTATGACAAGGAATGTAGATGGTCAGTACGATTGACATAAGATCATTTTGGTAGAAGGCTTAAGACGGGATCTCTTTAGAAAAAATGACCGAGGGAAATTTCCCTACATTGTAATGTAGGAACTACCAATACAGAATGACGAAAATAACGATGACGAGACTGTTTTATCGTGTACTGTACAGTGATTATTACATCGTTAAGTTGATAGCCGATAGGTGATCAAAAAGGTGGGCAAAAGTGGTTTTTAAAATTTTAAGCCATAACTCATAAGTATCAGAGCATATTATATAGGTCAGAGTAGCTACACCTCAGTGGCGTCATCGTCTCAGCAATCATTATGACCTATATTTACATTAAGTCAATAAACGTATAATAATAATATTATGATGATGATAATATGTGGTTGCCATTGATTAGAATTATGGTTGTTGAAAATATATGGTTGTGTACTTGTGTGTCAACAACTTTACTGTGATTA